GCGGACAGGCCCAGGGAAGGAGCCTCGGCAGGGAGGCCGAGCCTGCCGCCGCCGCCCCGACTCCTGCCCGGGCAGCTCTGACGTCTGCTGTTGTTGCTGGAAGTGACGTCCGCGGGGAGGGACGCGCGGGGAGCGGAAGTGCCCGTCGGGTTCGGCGGCGGCAGATTCGGTCTGCGCCCGCCGCCTCCGGGAGCGGCCGCGGGGCCGCCGCGCTGCCAGGGATAAGCGGTGCTCCCGCCGCGCTGCCAGGGAAAGCGGTACTCCCGCCGCGCGGGTGAGCGTCAGCATCGCTCTCGGGCCGGGCTCTGTCCCCGCCGTGCGGGCCGGCTCCTAGCCCGGGGCTCTCCCGCTCCGCGGAGACGGCGAGCTCTGGGGAGGGCCCGGACTCCGGCTGTTGTAGGGGCGAGGAAAGGCGGGTGGGGAGCTGGCCCCGGTCCCAGTCTGGCGAGCTTGCCGCAGCCCGCCTTGCCGTGTCCTGGCTGGGACACGCGTTTTTGCCACTGGTGCCCAGGGCAACCAGCCGAGGAGGCGCAGTCCCTTGTGCCCTTCGCTGGTGTGCAAGTGGCCTCTTCTGCGCCAAGGGTGTCGCGGCTGGCACGGCGCCGAGGTGCCGTATTTGTCGGTGACCTCTGTGCAGCTCGGCGTAATGGTGCGATTTCCCCCAGCTCCCCGCCCTGTGCGACAGGAGAGTCTAGATTCAGTTGGAAGAAATCAAAAGTCTGATTGTTGGGCATTTCAAAGACAGCGTTTACAGTGTTGACATACTTGGTAACTTGCATAGGGTAGTTTTTTTTAGTTTCTGTTTGTTTTGGTATTTTTGTTTAGTTTTTTACATTGATCCTTTGAATGGCGTGCACAGTTTTGAGAGCTGTTCTTTGAGCCACTTCCTCAAAGTTGTATATTATTGTCTCTTTAAACTTTGTTATACTCGATTTTATTCTTGATAGCTACCACTGTAACTTCTCCTTTGCATTTCTGCAGACAAAAGCTATGTATCCCATTTTACTGGGTTCACCTTCCCAAGATTTGCTACCAACTTGACTGTTACTTTTATGATCTCTTAGGCTATTTTGTAGTGATAGTAGTTACCAGTTTCTACATCCAGAGGTCTGGTGTAAAAAGAAAGGATTGTTGATACTTTAGGGAAACAGCCTATGTATGATTAGACAAAATCCTGTCAGTGTGTCTGATCTGCAATTTGCATTGCAGATTAGATCTTCAGTTTTATGTCAGATTCTTTGAGGTTTGTCTTAATAGCTATTTAAAATTGCAAAGCTGTGGAATGGATCACATTGTAACATAATGCAGGAAGCATAGCTGCCTCAATTTTCAAATAATTGGTTAAATTCTTCCAAGCTTTGAAAAGTAAGTATTATGTACTTCTGTTTAGTGCAACTAATAATCCAGGACCTAATGATTAAAATAAAGGAACCTGATGTTTAAGTAGGAAGAAAATCCTTTTAACAAGGGCAGAACACATGGGAAGAGCCTAATCTTGAAGATTGCTGATTAAACACCATAGAAGCACAAGAAGAAAAACACCCTCAACAAACTCAGCCCCCTGTAAATGGAAGCTTTAACTGTTTCTTGAGACCACAGTTTAAAAGCTGTGTGACTGTGCCTCTTCACTGCTTGCATTGGTAGGCTTCAAAATACTTGCTTTGTAGCAAGAAAAGAAATTTAGTGAAGATAGTGATAGGTAATTATCTCCCAGGTTCTAGCAGAAAGTTGAATTTAAGTGATTATTGCATTTTGTAATTTTTGTGTACATACTTTTTTTGAACAGATGCACTTTTGGCGTTTATTTCATAATCTGAAAGAAGACTAGCATTTGGAATAATGGCAACAGGAGACCTAAATGGAAGTTTAAGAAAAATTGAACAAGGACTTCGCTTGTTAAATTATCCAAGAGATGTGGATTATACAGTGTAAGTGACAATGTGAAAATTTATGCCAATACATGGTGACAGCAAGATGTGTAAACAAGATATGCATAAGTATTAGCATTGCACCTAGTGATAAGCAGAACATAACTGGGAACTTGGGGTGTGGTCTGTGTGAACTGGAATATAAAAATACGCAGTTTTGCTCTTCTGAGCAACCCTTAGAACAATCCTGGGCTGTATTACTGTCTTGCTCCTCTTCTGCTGTTCTTCTCTTTGTTTTGGTTAACCTCACTTTTTGGATTTCTTCAGAAGTGCTTGCAAAACTTCCTTCAGGAAATTTCATCCTATAAAGATTAGAAACAAAAAAACAATGGTCTTAATGTTGAGCTGGAAATGCTGGTGGGCTTTAGACTTGGCAATGTTTAAACTGTATTTAGATCACAAAAACTGTTTTTTGAGCATTTTACAGATAACAGCAAAGATGGCTGAGTGAGAGATGCCTGGACAAACAAGCCTTAAAATAAAAGATATTTAGACAGAACGTGCTGTGTATTTATTCCTTTCAAGTTAAATGTTGGAATTTATGTAATGAAAAGCTTTTGTTACCTTCTGCTGTGTAAAATACTTTTGTTTCTTTATAGGTTAGTAAAGGGTGATCCAGCTGCATTTTTACCTATCATCAGCTATTGTTTTACATCTTTTTCAACTTGCATAGCAGAGCTTTTGGTAAAGTGTGATGTGGAACTGACAGCCAAGAGCGACTTGCGTTTTATCGAAGCTGTTTATAAGGTATCTCTTCATGTTCTTTGCTAAAGAAACTTCACAGAAATTAAACACTTACTATGAGCTTTACGAGAAACCTAAAGCTTCTGGTAATGAACATGAATTTTAGTTCTGTTAGAATTTAAGGTGAGTAGTAAGTCACTGTGTGCAAGTTTTTAAGATTTTAATGAAAATAAGGATGGGTGGGGGTAGGCAAATCTCAGTTTTGAGACATTTGCAGAAACAGTAATATTGTTAGATGTTAGTTTTGAAGAACACAGAAATGTTTATTGGACAATAAGATTCATAGAAGTGACCTTGGCAAAAATCTTAACCACCAAAAAAATCACAAGGAACTCAAAAAATTGTAAGCACAATTTAGAAATACAGCTATTTTGAAACACTATACATTTTAATACATAAAGTTGAATATTAACCTTTTATAAATCGGAATCATATCTTAACTGATTGAAAATAATTTTGAACTATCCTTAAAATATACAAAAACATGTCTTTATGAAAGGTGGAATGATGAATTAAGAAATAGTGTCTTATTCAGACTAGTTTTCTATCTGAGAGACTGCTTTACAGGCTTCTTTGGGAGCCTTATATAGCCCTCTGATGTACTTGTTGAGATTAATGTAGCTTTTTATTGTAAATTCACTTTAAAACCTCTTAGTTTTAAGTTTTTTTAGTATTAATTTCTACAGTCAGTTATTTCTTAAATCTTAAGACTGTGAGTTGAAGTTTACAAGAGTGATGTGAATGATAGAGGAGATATGTTTAAGGCCTAGTTAAAAGAAACAGCTGTATATATGAGAGAATGTTTAACTGCTGAAGTGAAGAATGAAAGATAAGACTAGTAAAATAAGAATATGGGCATGCCATTTCTACAGCAAATTGTGAGGTGATTTTGAAAGTGAAGTAAACTCTTATTTTGTTGCAGTTTCTTCGAGATCAATTTCAGTATAAACCAATTTTAACAAAAGAGCAGTTTCTTCAGGTTGGCTTTGCAGAAAGAAAAATGCAAATTGTTTGTGACATTATCAACAGTGTGGTGAAGAAACATAAGGAGTTGAGTAACTCTAGTAAGGTACTGATCAAATGGTTATCTTTTCTACAAGTTTCTTTTGACATGTTTGGTGCTGCAGATAAACTGGTCTTCAGCTTCTATTTGAAGATGCAGCATTGCTCATGGACCAAATAATGGAAACTTAGTATGAAGTTCCATTGTAAGATGCTTGAATGCTTTCATGAAGCTGCCAATACTTTAGTATAAAAAAATTAGAATGTAGTAGTAGAAAAAAAATTAGAATGAAGAAAAATCTAATTGTTGTTTTTACAGTAAGTGATATATTTTCTTTTACACTTCTTGATGCAGTGAACATGTGAATTAATGAACTTATCAGATAAATTTAAAGGCAAAACAAAATAATCTCATATGTTGAATTTCTGTAACAATTCAAAAATGACACTTGTATTTGTTTCTCAGATCTGATTATTTTCATTAACGATAGTTGTAATGGCATTATTTTTTATCAGTGTATGTAGTGCATCGGTCTCTGTTTTAACGAAAGGAATTTCCAGTCTTTATATTTTACAGGATTTTGTTTCCTTTGAGGTTTTAACAAATCTTCAGGACTTTTGCATACTTGATTTGTCACTTTTGAAGACATAACTACATTTTTTTAATTTGTTTTACTTTCAACTCTGTTGCAAGTTCTCTTCTGTATATAAAACCATCTATTGATGCAACCTAGCATAGGTATTAATGAGTGTAAAAGTATGGCATTTACTTCTGGATCTATATTCTCTATAAATAGGGGTCTTATTTAATTTTTTTAGATGTTATTGTACTACAGAGATTTAATGTGTTTGTGTGGGGGTGCCATGAAATATTCCTGTCAGTCAGTAATGGTGTTAGAAAGTGGGATGTGGAATCCTGAAAATTTTCCTGTTTATTTTCTTCTGTTCACTTTGGAGGTTAAATCCCAAACAAGAAAAAAAATCAAACCTTTTAAAATTGAAGTGTGGTCAAATTGTGGTAAAGGTCTTGCTGATCCAAGTCGCAGTGCTCTGAATTCCAAACAGGTATGAAAATAATTTTTATGTTTTATGTGTAAAGGTTAATCTTGTTGGTAGTTAGTCAAGCTCTTGCTGAAATTTTTTACTTTCATTTAGGTTTTAATACTTAAACCAGTTTTGAGGTGAGCTGGTGTTTGTTTGTTTTTCCCTAAAGTGTGGTTGCCTGAAATAGTAGCTGAAATACAGAGGATGTTGCCTCTCTCTAACTGAGTAGTTGATCTGAAAGTCTTGCTGGTAATGACCTAGTGCCGTTGTTAGTGCTATATGTGAATTAAATCAAGTGTAAGGGAGAGCGATGGAAAAAGATACAAGGGGACAAAGGAGCTGTATGGTGTTTGAAGAATCAAGTGTGCTTGGCCTAGCACATGTTTTCAACACAGCTTTGAAAACACTGATGTTTTATCTGGATCTGTTCAGCAAGTTTTCATAATGTAGCATTCCATTTGGCTTTGGTTTTACAAAGGTAAAATGATTATGCATTAAGTAAAAATGTCTGTACGTTATGCCACTCTTGATGTGTGAAGGAGGCAGCTTTCCTGATATTATCTGCTAAAAGGGTGCGGAATAAAATTGTTGAAAACTTTTAGGACTATGACTGCCTGTTAATAGTTGGTGGTTTCTACTTGTAAGGAAAATATTGCTTTTATCAAGGAAAACTTTGTGAAGAAAGTATTTGGAATGGCTTCTCTATCTTTTCTTGTTGTTTAATAGTAGCACTGAATGGGATAGATAAGTGTATTTTAAGAATTCCTTAGTAGAGGAGAGTTTCAGCTTAACTAAAACATTGAGGAATCTGTACATGTTAAGATGCTGCACAGAACCAGTAATTGTGCATTCTTACTCATTAAGTATTTCATTTTGTGATGGTATGATAAGATTTAATCCACCTAGAAGGAATTGCAAAATTTCCCTTTGTTTTCTCTAAGGGAAACTAATGAATTTCTCATAGGGCTATTTTGCTGACAATTATCAAGAAAAAGGAAGAATTCTCATCTTTCTAGTTAAACCTTTTTTGTTCTTAATGTTTTAGTAATGGTTTTGATGTAGAAACTGTCTATACATGTGAATTTTGCTGTAGGTAATAACATTTTCCAGTCCACACTTAGAAATCTAACAACCCTTAAATTAAGGGAGGACATTCATGTCTTCATTGCTGTTTATGGAAAGGAAACAAGGTACACAGTATATATGGTAAAGTGCATGCATATTTATTTTGCAGTTCCTTCAAGTCTGTGTGATTTTTTTAAAAAATTAAACTGCCTGCTTTTCCTTTCTGTATTTTGTAACCAGTTGGGATAAGATGGTTAGATTTGAATACTGAAATAATAGATGTTATTATATATTATATATTATTATATATCATTATATATTATATATAATATATAATAATATAATAATATTATATATTATTATATATTATATAATTATATATTATATATATATTACTTTGCTAATGAATTGAAATATTCTTGTTACGAATAACACCAGCAGTTTGTTTGTTTGTTTGTTTGTTTAGCACACTCAGAAGAAGCCTCTAGTCGAACGGCACTCAGGAAATGAAGTTAGTGGTAATCTTTGTCCCCTACCCCTTCCAGCACAGGGAGAGACTGAGGAAGAATTGTGCCCAGATTATGATATTGTGGAAGTTAAATGTGAACAAGTAAGAACTTCTATTTTAAGATGTCTTTTTATTACAGGATTTGTCTAAAAGGATAAAAATTTTTACATTATATCTATGCTTCAGGAGCATGCAGCTGATATTTAATAAATGTATTGAAAAAGTTGGAAAAAGGAAAAGTCAGTTAAATTGTACTGTCTCTTTCAAGACACAGTTCTGTCAACAGCTTGTTTTAGAAGCTGTGTTTCGTGAGTAGGCATATTTTGGTAATTCTGGAAGAAAAATAATATCCTAATGTAGCAGGATGTGGTTACTGAACTTGAAGATTGCACTTAATTCGTTTGATCAAACGATGAATTGTTTCTGTTTGAAATTAGAGAGATGTTCTTATCGATACTTTCAGGATATGGAAGAAAATTCACAAATTGAGTTTTTAAAGAATCAGCTTGCGGATTTCCAGGAAAAGCTTCATAAGCTAGATTGGATGGAAGATAAGCTACAAATTTTAGAAGAGAAGCTGCAAGGAAAGGTGATCATAGATGAGAAGGACTGGAATAACTTACTGAATTGAGTTTTGCTTCTTGAAACAGAACTGTTGTTACAATCCAGAAAGGTGTGTTAACTTCTTGTTTAATTCTATAACAAAAATTATGCAAACACAATCTTGTTGGTCTGTTTCTGCCCTCCCTGCCTCCTGATGTGTTTTTTTCACTGGTTTTAAAGGTACAATCTGAATGCAAGTGCTGTTTATGAAGTTGATGGGGTTTTTTTCTTAACTGTTAAATTCTATTCTCGGAGACTCTATGAACCAAAGCAAAGCTCTCCATCTGTTCTCATTAGTAATGATTCAGTGTCATTTTGTTTGCTACTAAAGTTATAGAAGAACAGTTTTGAACATGGAGTCTTCATTCTCTACAACAGATAGTGACAAAAATAGATGGCATGCACAGTGGAAAATACAGGGTTAATCAAAGAGTTATTTCTTATTTAGTCCTATGTGTACTTTATGGGCCCTTGAAATTTCTAGTCTAATCAATGGGGTTTTTTCTTCTATTCCCATTCTCTTTCCCCACTTCCTATTTTTTGTCAGTGATGTTCATTGCATTTTTGAATGTGTGAAAGCACTACAGTTGTGATGCGGCTACATTTGGCATAGCAAATAAAGCCTCTTGTTGCATTAAGATTGGGTTATTTTTCATGGTGTTGAAAGTTCCTTGTGTGCACATTATGTACTTTGATATATGTACACATGTAAATATTTTGAGTTGCAGTGAACCATAGCATCACTTTGAAGTTAATCATGTGATCCAAAAATTTTATTCTCTCATGCATCTTGTGTATCCTTCGGATACTGTCAGATGCTTTCCAGAAGTTGAAAATCCTTGTGGAAAATAGTTGACTGATGTTGCATTTTTCTTTGCAGTTGTAAAACTGTTGAATTTATTCACAACCAGGAGCCCTGTACATTTTGCTGACCCCACAAATTTAAAAATGTTTCTAATACTTGTATGTTTGCTAGTACTTACATGTTTTACTTTGTGCCTTGCAAGTGTGGTGGTTATGCAAATCTTGCAATAGACAGGTGTTCAGACTAGATCACTAGGTTATTTCTGAAAGCTGTAGCTCAATTAATAAGGATAGATATTCTCAATCACTTAAAAAAAAAGTTTTAGGTCAGTAGTAGCTCATGTGATTTTACCATCTGAAATCAGATTCTTATAGATCAGTAGACATGTGTCCAAGTAATACCACCAATGATAATGGGTTTTTTTCTGGCAGCAGTCTTAAGAGGCATTCAGGTGAGCAGCCACAGACAGTTTTTCTCCTGTTTCAAATGTATTCTTTTCAAGAAATTACTGTAGTACATGGGAAAGCTCATAGCTCATGTTTCAGACTAGACTTGTTCCTTTGGTTTTTAAAATTTGGTTTATTACTGCTTCACTAACATGTTTATTGCAATTGTTCATATGGTTGGAACAGTATTTGGAAAATACTCTCAAAAAGTACTCAGAAATTTCCAGAGATAATTATATTTCTGTACTGCATGTTACTGAAAGAATTCACCTGCAGAAACAAGTTCAGTTATAGTTTCTGTGTGGCATTGTATATACAAATATATAAGACTATATCTATATGTATACATAGTCTTCAAAGCTAACTGTTTTGCAATAGACATTTGAAAACTGCTAAGAAATAATCCTTTGGGCCACAGATTTGCTGCTTTTTTGTTTAATGAAATTGCATCCAAGTCGTGCTTCACACATACAGAAACAGTTCAGAATTACTGCTCTCTTACTCTTGCACTTTACGGGGAATTTTTGGCATCTAGCCAACATAGCAGGAACATTCTAAGATCTGTCTTTTGCTGTTGCCAGAGTAGCAGCAGCTGTGCATTTAAGTTCTGGGAAAGTCTGAAAGCTACCAAATCCATTTCAATGAAAGGAATTGAACAGACATAGTCTGTGCAGATTCTATTTTTGTATTTTTTAAGAGATAGAGATTAATACAGGTTTTATTTTCCCAGCATTTTCCCATACAATACCTACTATTTCTCCTTCATTGATTTAGTTGGTTGTAGTATGCCTCTGTTAGCTGATGTAGTTACTCCAGTATATAAAGTGACATATTTGAAAGGCTGCAATGTCAAATCATAATGATAACTCATTGGTAAAAAAAGTCTAGATGTTTGAGTGTTGCATTTTTTAAAAAAAACCTATTGTTTCCTTGTTTATGAACAACCTTTTTAAAGTTAGATCAAGTTAAACTGAGAATGTTTCTTTAAAGAGCCCTCTCTCATTTAGGAGCCTGGGAAACCAGCTTAAAATAGCCTTCTGGGTTCCAAGCATTTAGGTGCAATGAATTTCAGTTAGTCTATAGGCTCTTTTTCTAGGACTGAGGACTGTATTTTTGAATATCAACCAGCAGTAGAAGAAGGCACACTTACTTTAAGCTCATGGCAACCAGCATTGAGATGAAATGATTAGTAAAGGCTAAGAACACTCTGATTTTCCATTCTACTCATAAGTGAGTTATATGGACTGTATTTTGGCCTGGTTTCAACCTCTTCATGAACAGCAATATTGATATTAAAAAAAAAAGCCATTAAATAGACTAGTTTTTTGACAAAGCGCATTTATGGAAATGTTGAATTTTTTTAGTCCTGTGAAGATGTTGGTGCAGTGCCAGCATATCTGGATGCTGTAGCAAGCAAATACATACATACCTAGTACTTACATATACTTTTGTTCAGTCAGAAGATGATTTAAACAGGGTGTATGCCTAAAATGCAGTAAACTTGTATTTCAGAGAGACTTACCTAAAGACTTCAGCAATATAAATCAAAAAAGAACTTCTAGTAGCATTCCAGTTTCTTTTGGTGAGTATTAATGATTTTCCTTTTAATTAATGCAAATATGCTAAACACTTCTTATTGACCTTGACTAAAATAGTTTAAGTAAGTAACTGCAATTTAGTGACCTCTGAATTTAAAACCATACTGCAGATTAGAAGTTAACCTCCTCATAATTTCATGTTTCTAACTTACTCTTTAGATGATTTAGTTACTATAGCATAGTAAAAAATAGTTTAAAATAGCTGCTAAAAATATCAAAGATGCAACTTTAATTAAGGTTCTGTTACTAAAGCTATGAATAACAATACTGTCATCTGGACTTCAAAGCAGTTATCATGTTTTAAGAATGCACTGTTCTCAAGCACAAATGGAGTTATTTTTGCTGCCACTAATATCTTTTAGGTTGCTGTTTTCTTTTTTAATGGGGCTCAGACAAATCATGCATGATTCATAATCTTTGTTGGTTTTGAACTCACTGCTGAATGTTTTCTGTATTTCATCTCTGAAGCAGTTAGCAGCTGTCCAACTGGCATTTTTGATAAATTTTCTTGTTTTGAAGCAAAAGTCAAAATCTTTTTCTTCCGTTTCCAACTTCTGCTTAATTTTGATAATCTGCAAGAAGTAAATTAAGCAAATTTGAGTGGGAAGGAAGTTAAAAGCACTGCTCAGGCCATGAGTAATTCTTCTGTCTTCCTCAATGGTAGCTCTTTAGCCCTCAGCTCTATTAGCTTCCTCTGTTCTCTTCCTTGATTTGGTCTGTTTCCCTCGTGGCAGCTGTTATTCCTACCACCAGTGGTAAGGAGGATATTCTATTTTCCATTCTCACATATTAGGCTTTTTTGTCCAGTGTTAGGCTTTTGAATTGTAATTAAAAAGGAGACACAGTAATCCAGTTTCCATGGAAATTAGGAAGGCAGTTCTTGGTTATATCAAAGCTTGTTTTTATCGTGGAGTCTCAGAAAAAGGACCTTCATTTTACAGGACTCAGAAAGCTTGCAACATATTTATTTCCTGTGATAAGTTTAGTGGTGTGTTACTGATACTGGAGGACTTGGTAATAAGTAAACAGGCAGACGGTTTCTGAAAGAGAATTTTCAGACTCCTCAAATTCTGAATTTGTTATTCCTGCTTTCCTAAAATTCAGGAAATTTTAGGCATGTAAGGTATGAGGACAGTCTTAACTCGTATATGTGACAGTATAGTACTTGGAATCCTTTCAGGCTCTTTGTGGTTGTAGCACTCTTCAGAAATCACAGCTGTACCAAATAAAAAATTTTTAATTTTAGGTATTTAAAAATGGTTTAATATGAATTTTAGATACAAAATAGTGTAGCTACGTTTGCTCCAAAGGTATGATATATAGATGGTGACTTTACTAAAAAATGGGCATGGGAACATGTGTTTTTTCAAGATACTAAGTTCTCTTCCCTGACAATAATAATCTAAAATTGCAAAGAAGATCACAGCCTTCCAAATGAAAAAAAAAAAAAAAAAAGACAAAAATTCTGCTATTTAGAAGACAGCTTACTTAGCACAAATTGAAGACATGTTTGATGTGAACATGGCTGTTCACAATAAAAATAATGTAAACTGTATGAAATTACTATTAAATGCTTGGCACTGTAATCAGATCTTCATAAGTTTTGGTTTTACTCTAATTAGGAGCAAATAATCTTCATAGTAATCTTTGGAATTTGCTTTTTGTATATTAAATATATTATGCATAGTGTCATAAGGCACTTGTTTTAAAAAAGTGAGAAGCCTATTTTGGACTCTCATAGTAGATTTTTCTTTCCCTTCTCTAAACAATGCATTCTCTTCTGTTATTGCCTACTGTAAATCAAGTTATTTGATAGCTGACCTTGCAAAAGAGAGCAAAAAGGCAAAGGTGACATAAAACGTAGCATTTCTCTATAGATACAGAGAGGAATGAGGAGATGCCAGAGAGTCATCTTCAGTCGTCTGGATGCAGTTCACTGTTACCCACAGACCAGTCTCCCAAAGACATGACCATTAATTCTCATGATCTGACAGACATTTCAAAGGTAAGTAAAGCTGGTGAATGCTCGGTTGATTTCCTTTGAGGTCAAGGGAACAAGTAAGCATTGGTTTTAGTTGTATATACTGATAGAAAAACAAGGAAACTATGCAAAACTACGTCTAGATCTGTTTCTTAAAAATACTTCTCATATGTAAACAGTGCTAAAGTCACATTTTCTCTGAATTGAAATTGAAAGTTCATCTGAAGAATGTAAGCTTTGAAGAGTTCACTAACTATGTTGCTTTTAAATTGTAGGAGACAATAAGACAAAGAATGGAAAATATAAGTAAAATGTAAGTAATAGGAAAGGGCAACAGGAATTTATTTCCCAGGAGGGAGTTGTACTGGACTAAGGCACACAGAGAATGTACATATGTGTTCCAAACCTCAAAGGTCTCTGCATCAGGTGTGGCATTTCCTTATGGCTCTACTGGATAATAAATCCACTTACAATTTTGTATTTGTGGGATGAGTCACTGTTTTGGTTTTTAAAAAGGAATAGAAAGCACTCTTAAGAGTGTTAACTAGAGATTAAAGAGGGTTTAGAATTTGCTTGATAAAAAATAGGAATATTATTTATTTCCTGATTGAAATTCCCTGGTACTTGCAATTTTTCTTCCTGAAAAATACCTGTTATCTTAACTGGTTTTTTATTATTTAAGGAAAAGTAAAACTAATTTCAGCTTAAGCATTATAATAACTATATTAAGATGTATTTGTTATTTATTCTGAGATCTAGAATAAAATTTTTGCTATATTTTTATTATACTTGAAGAGAAATGTGTTGCTTTACTGTGTTTCTCTAGCAAGAGATTTCTCTAAGTGTGTGGCCTATAAAAAGCTCTAGCCTTTTCTGTGATTTTAATTTTATTGTGTGGGTTACTTCTTTTTTTGTCTGCTTGAGGTTTATTGATATATGGTAGGCATTTAAAATAGAAAACAATTGCAGAGGAAAAGGGAGGGATGAGAGAACTTATGGGGTCATGCTGCTGTATTTTGAATAATTAGGGTGTTAAAAGCCAGTCAATTATTTTGTACCCTATTTTATTAAGTGTATGTAAACAAAATTTATTTTCAGAATTGAAGAAACCTTCAAATTGTTCAAAACACCAAGCCCACCTCTGGGAATACCTGGAAGCACAGGTCTTCAGACCTGGTCTCTGCAGACCTACGGATACCCAAAATAATCTGTATGTTTATACAGCGTTCAATTCTTAATATATTGGATTTGTAATGATCACCAGTGCTTTTATTGCCTTGAATAAATATTTTACTCATGCATCTGTGTATTGATTTCCCTCCCCACGACCACAATTTTTGGTTTTCAAGACTGTTAAAATAGCTTCTTCCCCCCTCCTTGCACTTTTGTAAATTGGAGTCATTACAGCAGTGTATTCTTGTGTTGACATTTGTTAGCAGTGTGCTAAGTAATATGTTTTTTAAAATGTGGGCTTGAGGACTGTGGTTTACATCCTGTTGGAAACATTCCAGCTGGAGCTTGCATATTACACCCAAGAGGCATTCTTACATACCATCTTACCATCTGTACTGTTGAATAAGTCTTAATAAAAAACTTACATACACAGTTTCAAATATGTACCTTTTTTGCTGGATTTTTATTTTTAAATATAAGTTTTCATGCTGAGCTGGAGAGCACCAACACTTTATGGCTTCCATTAACACTGACAAAGTGAGGGTCAGTTTGATCCTAAACACAAAAATGTGCAAGGAACTCCACAGACTTTGACTGCAAGAGATGTGTTGAGTGTTTTAGTACTCTTACCCAACACATTTTAAGACCAGCAGCACAGATGGAGACCAGTCAGTATACAAAGAAACACAACATTTTCATTATTTGAAGCCATATTAAGATTTCTGTTTAGAGACATAAGTAGATGTAAGACTACCATAAACATATGATCAAACCAAAGATGTGTGAGACTTGATTAGATTTATTTAATTGTTTATTGCTTTTTATAAATTGGTAGCCTGTCATATCAAGGTTCCTTTGTGTTTTAATACTTCACTTTAAAAGATTTTTGGAGTTTAATGTTACAGACCAATCGGAATTTTTTGGGGGGCAAAGTTTGCAGATGAAGGTAAAAGCAGCTGTTTAACATGCTGTAAAAAGTGATTTCTATGTTTTACAGTAATTATGATTTTTTTTTTCTATAACCATATGGAATATGAATTTATTTTGCACAGAAACAGAAGAGCTTGCGGCAATCTGTTACATTATATAAACTAGTTCGGGGGTTTTTAGACTTACTTACTTTTTCAGTTGTTTAAAAATAAAAGAACCTATAAAGATTGGATCGTAGGAACGTGTTTTGCTCCTTAATTGAAAATAGGCCTTGCAAATCACTGTTCTTTATTCTAACAATGAAATGAAATGAGGTTTCCATCTAAATGTTAGAACAATTAATGTCTTAAAATAGGACTGCAGCACCATCTTGTGGAAATCTTTATAAAGTCATCCAAGAAGTAAAAATTAATATTTCTGTCTGCTTTAAGTCACTATGATCAAATATTTTGAATAATCTCTCTCTTAATTTTCCTCTTTGCCTTGAAGTCAAAGATGCTTTTATGTTCAGTGAGATGTTTTTTCTCTGTGATATTTGATAAAGTTTATGGCAGGAATGAGAGGAATGACTTGTTTATTGATGTCATGGCAAAAATGAGAAATGTTAGTATACTTGATCCAAGTTACAGAGACTTATCATTGAATGCATTTGGGGAATGCATCAAGTGTTAGAAAAAGCTCTTTCTCTATGTGTGCAATTCAATATCATCTCTATTTAGTGCTATAAAATTGAAAATCCTAAGTTGTTCAATTATTTACTTCTTCCAGAAACATACATAGTAGTGAAAAGCTAAAATCAAGGATAGGGACAAACTGAAGTTTGAGCAGTGCATTATTGTCTTGCAAAGGCTAATTTTTCTGGAGAAACAGAAGATAAAGTATATTAGAAGCTACTAATTGTGGAAATTATTTAGTTACTTTGTAGAACAGATGCTTAAAATTCTTTAGTAATCACTAGTGAACAGGTCTTGAAACAGCCTTTTTCTATCAGCTACTTGTTTTGACAAGTTAGGCATCATTGCAAGCAGTTGCAGTTGTAACGTATTCTACCTTAAAATTATTTATTTGCTAATTATTTACAGTTATCTTTTCAAACACTTTATGCCACATATAGTTTCTGTTCAGTTTTTTTTTTTTAGGATCTTTTTTAACTCTGTGTGGTGAAAATAACTTACAATCCTCAGACAGCAAATTATCCTTCCTCAGGAAAAGTATTATATCTGCAGAAATGGTTATAAAATGATAGTATTTTGCCTCTGCGATCTGTGAGCAGATTTCTGTGTGATAGAGATCTGTGTTGTGGTCTTTGTAGGATACTGGGGATGATGCACTCGTGTCACCTATGCCAGATGAGCAGTCAATACAAGGATAGTAGTTAAAAGACTTTTAACTTGAGTGACCCAAATGGGGAAAAGAAGTTGTTCCTCAACTGTGATATTCCTTCCCCTGAGCATCCTATGGGTTATTTAATGAGGAGTAGTAAAGCTGGTATCTCTGTTTAGGCAATGTGACCTTATCTGATAGAAAAAAGCTGTATCAGTAATTGCAAAACTCATTCTCTTTAGACAATCTAGAGCAGATGCTTGATTTGGAAGTGGTGAAGCTTTTTATTCTCCAAGAGCAAACTGCTCTAGTTACAGGTTCACAACAATTAGCAGTAGTGTGGAGCACTGATGTTCTAATGCAGCATTGTGTGTTGGTTTTCCTCTCCCCATTCCCTATGGAGTTATTTTAAAGAAAACTTATGCTGTAAAGCAAAATCACTTGATAAACTCAAAATCAACAGAAATAAAATTTTTCCAGTGTTAGGTTTATAAAGATAAATTTTTAGCATAAGCAATGTCAAAGAATATTATGCCTCAGGGTATTTTAATCAAAGGTGAAATTCTGTTTCTAAAACATACTGCGAGGTCTTCATAAACTTTCACACTTGCGTGTCTGTTCTCTTACCTGGTGCTGCTGCACTGCATTGAGTGCATGTTGAAATATGAACTGGGATTAAGAGTTAGAGAGCCTTGAATACTTTCCATGAATGCTGAGAATAGTTTCACAAAGCTGAAGTTTTTGGCAGCTTAAGGGATTTCCTCCCAGTGCTGATCATTCCCATCTGTCTGTGTTATCAACTGTGTTTTGTAACTGATGTGACTTAAATATACCCTTCTGAAAATAAATAGTGAGGGGGTATTGGTTATATTTTTTTGGGTGGTCTTGTTTTTTGGGTTTTTTTTCTCATTTACATCAGCTCTGTGATCAGCTTATGACATTGCATCCAAATGTTTGTGCCTGAACTTCCAGTTGGAGCAGCCTGCTATGCTGTCAGTAACTGTGCAAGAGGAGAGATAATGGATCAAGTTGGTGTTTTACTGCTGAAAGATCTCTTTCTCTGAGTCTGCAGAGCAGTAGAAGGGAAGAAGTTCCTGTGCAAAGTCCCAGTGTACATATTCATGAAAGCTTGTTTAGTGTATTTTTGAATTGATTGAAAGAGCAAATGTGTGTCTGAGAAAAACATGGAAAATAGGATTTAAGGAAATCTAGATCTACAATTTGGAATTGGGTCAGTTTCCAGGAGCTGAAATAGCTCTGTTTAATACACGTGCTTTTGTTTTTTGTTCTTTTTTTCCCCCTTGGCCAGTTTTCTTGGATTTAGAGGCATATTTTTCATATGTTCAAAAATACCTGAAAAACCCAACCCGTTCTTTGCTGTGTAAAATGACCATAAAATATACAGGCAAATACAAACCCAATCCTTGGGGAACATTCTTTGTAATCTTTTGTATTGTGGAATAAATATGTAGGAATATGTAACACATTTAAAATATTTCACATAGGCAATCACTGTATTATAAAAATAAGAAACATATTCTCCTTACAACCTTAGTTTAACTGTAGTGATAAACTAGGCAATATAGTTCATGGATTTTGAAGCCTTTCATTGCTATCAATATAAGCAAGTTTCAATATGCAGGAAGACTCGTCATTTATTTCTAGCAGTGTGTGTTCATTTGCTCCACAGGTGATCTAATAGAATGTAAGCACTACACCTTTCCCGTCGTGCTGACTGATGGTCTGGCATTGCATAGTCTTTGTCCCTGTATTGTTGCATAAGACACTGATAGTAATTTCTTTGCCTGCTTACTCCGACTGCAAAATTAAGAGATTCCCCTTGTTTTTCTCATGTGTATGATGTGTTTTGGTTCATTGTTTATGCCCACTTTAAGAATTACTGAGAAAAAAGCCAATGGAAAAAAATGTAGTCTGTTTTTTTCTTGTAATTGAAACCATCCCATTGGAACCTATTGAAGGAACTAAGGATAAGTTCATGAACTTACTTGAGCTTATGTATTAGTGGTAACTGAGGGTCCACCTCCTTGTAGTTAAAAAAGTGGTTGACAGCTGTGATAATTTCAGTTAAAATAGATGTGGTTTTGTGTGAACTACAGAAAAATAGGTGCTGATATGGCAGAAGATTACTAGCCTGAATGCTTTATCAAGTTGCATTTTAAGCTGAGGTATAACAATTTAAGATCAGCGACTCAATTTTTTTTTTTTTTTTGTAGTTTTTTTCCTGTATTACTGTTGGAACATTTCTGTATTCTTCTTATACTTAGCCTTTTTCATGAAGATATTCCAACAAACAATATATTATTTTAAGTATTTTGTGATTGAATGTCATACTCAAAACATAAATATTTTTGTTTGAAACTGACTTGGACTGTGTTGGTGCACTGATCATAAGTTGTCTTGGATATAAAATATACAGAGGGAAGGGATACAATAGTTACATTACTTTAGAAAAATTACCTTTTGTTCTTTCCAAGCTAGTGATTGAGAAGGCACTGAGATTAATGTTATTTCTTTGTTCTTTTAAAGGCTTCAGCCTTAAGTGAAAGTATTTTTGTTACAGGAATGTCTTTGATAAGTGTTTGGATTTTAAGTGAGTTTTATGATGGTTTTGCCCTCATTTTAGAGATTGACATAAATATGTGCTAGTAGTAAGAACAAGGAGCACCAGTGATCTGTAGGTGTTCTGGGTTCTAGTAGAGTTTGTGAGCTTTGCTGTACAGGTATAGTTTCTTGCTTAAGGAGAGAAGTTGTCTTGAGTAAAGGGCAAACTAAAGTCCTCATAGAGGTGAGGCCTTGAAATATCAAAACCCAGATTATGGAGAACTTTCCTCTTATTGAAGTAAGGTCCCCAGGAAATTCCTCTGGAGGAGATAAAAATGGAACTATCTGGAGGAGATAAAAAAGGGAAGCAGGAAAAGGCTCTGGATGATCTAAAAATGGGTATCAGCAGGACATATTTTATTTAAATCATGCTTTAAAAGTTACCTTCAGAATGTAATGTGTCTGACAACCAAGCAGCACAAAATACCAATGGGGTGCATTTAATTAAAAGTATACTCATGTTGAGAACCATTTGAAATTAAAACAGCCCAAATGAGTAGGAAAAATACACTGTAGTATGGTGGTCATCTGCATAAGACAGGGTTAGGTACCATACC